AAAACGTAATTTAGGTCTTTTTTACAAGTTAAAATCGAGGGCTACCCGGATGTATATCTGGTTGTGCAAATTGCACAATTAATGTTTTGTCTGATTTGTTAATAAATGTTTCCTTTTTGATATCTTTGAAACATTTGTTATCAATGTATACATTTTTTCCCCCAGGATTAGAACGGAACGTCGGGGATATGCAGGACTGTTTAAATGAATGTGTATCGACGTCGGCTTTAAAAGAAAAAAACTATCTGTTGATCTCTACACAAAACTAATGATGTGCTTCAATTTGTTTACCGCATGTGGGGAAAAAAAAATTTGCTTAGACCCCCGCCCCCAATCCCAGGGTGGAAGCCACCCTTTTTACTCCTATAGTCCTGATCCTGGTAACCTCACCCTTAGCTTGAGCCCCCTCCAGGGCCTCCTGGAGGTCCGGTTCTGATGCAAGCAGAACCAGGTCCTCTGCAAAAGGCAGCAATATCATCTGCAGCTCCTGAACTGGGGGACCTCCACTTGGGGCTGCTCACAGAAATCCATCAAAGGTTACTGGAAACGGGTCTGATGAAACCCCAGGAAAGTACAGAGTTCTTGATCCTTTGTACAGGCTTCTCAGTGGGGGGGGATCGGGGGGGTGAAGTACCCCCAACAGAGGAAACTATGAGAGATTATAAGTTTTCTCCACACAAACACACAAAAAAAGAAATCAAACCATCAGCTCTGGTAATCAGATTTAAACTTTTCTAAGAAACTTGTTTTTTTTTTTTGTTTTTTTTTTCTCTACTTTTGTAAAAATAATCAAAATAAAACAATGAAATATGGTTTGAAACATGAAACAGGATTGTATCTTAGTTTCTCTAAAGAAGGTTTTTTTCTTTTTTTGTTTTTTAACCATCTGCTAAAAAAAGCATTCCGGACGATCGTGTTTTATTTCCTAAAGTTCTTCCTCGGTTATCCACCTGGTCATTAATCAAAATAAGTTTACGTCCCTTAATATTATTGTGTTTTTGGTGTAATCGATTAAAAAAAACTTGCTAAACTGATGAGAGAAGCGCTTTAGAAGAGGATATGGAGTTAAAGCAGCTTTTATCCACAGAAAGGCAGGAGGTGGCCTCGGAAAGCAGCTGTTTAAAATTACATTTCCACCCTTATGATGCGTGATCCAGTTTAAGAGGTATTATGGCTCATCATGTGTTACTGGAAAAAACAAAACGTTGCAATAACAAAGAAGCGGCAGATTATTTTTTTTCCCAACTGCTTATTTTCATGTCTTTCCTGAGATCCATTTATAAAAACAAACTTATTTTTTTTTCTGCTGTTATTTTTTCCCCCCTCTCTCTTTATATAAACTATATTCCATGTTTTTGTGTTTTTTTCAGATTAACAGGTATGCCAAAGGAAAAATATGATCCCCCAGATCCCCGCAGATGTTACACCATCATGTCAGCCGAGGAGGCGGCTAGTGGGAAGAAGTCTCACTGGAACGAGCTCGAGATAACTGGTCAGTCCATCCGACTCCTGCTGGTTCTACTTCCAGTTAACAAATAAATCCTTAAAGACGTTGAGTCCCAAATGTACAGTTAAAGAAAATGACTCTTGAGGATTTTTTACCTGTCAGGTAAAAGACTCTTCTGGTTGAACCCAAACAACAGAAGAAGTCCGGTTGCCTTCTACTCAAGCACTTTGATAATTATGCTCTGGAAAGAAAAGTGCAGACAGAGAGTATGTTAGTCGTTAGGTTGCCAAAAACTAGGATGAAATGTAGCGGTGTTCTGTCAGATCAGCATACCCATAATCAATACCCGATTATGCCTTTACTTTATCCCTTTAGTTTCTATGAAAAATACACTTTGATACACACGCATATACAGATCTGAAAACTTGCTCATGCGTATTAATATGGGTATGCTGGTGTGACAGAACACCGGCGCTACTGTTGCTAGGTAAAGCATAAGGGAGATGCACCAATGACATCTGGGCCAATATCAATGCCCAATATTAATGATAATGATGCCTGAAAATGCTTCTGCATACATAAAAAAGATGGAAATAGAAACCGGTGATCGATAACGGTCCAGTTTTACTTATCAAACCGATCCATCAAAAAATGTACCTACATTAATGAGGCTCTAGTAGGCGTTCCTAGCGAGCACCCACTGTCATGGTTTTCAGCTCTAGTGGTGAATTTAAAAGCAGATTTAAAAGATGTATTTTCTTTTACTTGTTTATGACATTTAATTGTGATTTTATTTATCTGGTTTGGTTTTCATACATTTTATTATTTCATCTTAATTCTTCTATATTATTATTATTTTTATTTTAAATTCTTCGTTGATCTTTTTGATCCAGTTTTTGGCCAATATTTTAGATTTCATTATAAATCAAATCTAAATTTTCTTTTCATTGCTACTAATTTATTTCATATTTAAATATTATTTTTAATGTTAATTTTTTGTTGTTAGTTTCTTCTTTTCTGACTCCTGCTTCCTAATTTCCTGTAATAGTTTATGGCATTTTAATCTGGTTGTTTTTTTGTTTTTTGTTTTTTTTCTTCTCTCATTGTGTAAAATCTAATCATCTAAAAATGGCTCTATAAATCAAATCTGACTGACATAGAATTGGATGAGCACTGGTGGAGTGGAAACCGTTTATGAAAACCTGAGGAGCAGGGTGCACTACTTCCTAAACTATCTGTTTTTTTTAATGCCTAAAAAAGTCCATATAAAATCTTTTTACAACTAAATTTGTGTATAAAAACTTTTAGAAAAGTAATAAGTAACCGCCTGTGAATTTTTATGGGTTTTTGCTGGAGCAGTGAACGATTAGGGACCACATTCTGTTTGCTTGTACTTTTAAAATTCACAAACAAAAATTTAAAAAGTTTAAATATTATAATGCTTATCTAAAATACAGAGCTATGAAAATAAATCATGGCAGAATTCAGTTCTTAAAAAAAAAATCCCTTTGCATTGATTCTCCATCCTGTTATTTCGGACTGCGTTGTTTTATTGTCGTCTGTTTGTGTCTCTCTGGAATCAGGGCGGGTGAGGAGTCTGAGCAGCTCATTATGGACCCTTACGCACCTGACGGCTCTCCACATCAACGACAACAACCTGAGCCGCATCCCGCCGGACATCGCCAAGCTGCCCAACCTGGTCTACCTGAACCTGTCGTCCAATAAGCTCCGCAGTCTGCCCGCCGAACTGGGCAACATGGTCTCTCTCAGGTAGGCTGCCCTGCAACATACACACTTTCAGAGTCCAGGAGACCAAACCTGACTGCTTTGATCCTGGAAAAGAGCTCAAACCTCTTGTCAGAAGTGCTGCTATGTCAACAACCCAGAGCTTAAATAAAAGTGAAAGTTATTATGCTATGTTCACGCCTAAATCAGCAGAAGCAGCTAGTTTACGTGCATAGTCAATGGTTGACGGCCATCTTGGCGCAGCAAAAGGTCCTGTTGCGCGTTATGAGCAGCAAGAGCAGCGCCTCATGAGCTACAGACCATCTGAGGCGCGGGACGCGCTGCGAAAGCAGCTGCTGCTGAAGTTGGAAAAATTGAACTTTTGCAGCTCGAGGCACCACATCAACCAATCAGAGACGTTGATCTCAGACAGAGAGACGAACTCTGTGCTGCTGATGCAGATCGCTGTGGCCACTCCTCTGAAACAGTTTAACGCCTAAATTAACTTAAAATCTCGAAATCAGCCAGCAAAATATGTTCACTTTTATTATCCTGGTGCCTGCAGTTTGGATTACGTACATGAAAAACACCTTCCAGCTGCCTTGAACAATAGGTGAAAGTGGCGGAGAGGCGACCGGGCCGGAGGCTGCTGTTGAACGGGATTCCTAGTGACAGAGCACCCCGGGTGTACAGGGGGTCTGAGCGGCTCCGACAGAGAAATATCTAAAGGCAGGATCGTAATCTGGATGAACTGACTCCACAGATGAAGTTTTCAGGTGGACTTTCTCACTTAAAAACATTAAAACTACTTTTTATCCACTGATCACAGAAAATATAGCCGCCATTGTTACAGGCAAAGAAAGGATAGGGTAACTCCGCCCAATGCGCATCAGACCCACTTTTCGACCAGGCAGCTAAAGCAGCAAAGATGTTTCAGCCGCGCATCAGAACTAAACTTGTACAAACATTAAAAATGAAGCAGCTTGCGGGTTTTTGCTGCTCCTGCTGCTTGCGGTGTGAATGTAGCATTACAGTGGTGGCAGAGAGCAGAATAAACAGACTGATGTTCACAGCCTCACCAGGATGGAACAACAGACTTAATGACATGGGGTCAGGAAAAGGGCAGCTAACCCCCAATTTACAATTACCTCCTAACTGATATTATATCCGCTCAGCTGCAGTGCAAAACCTGGGAGGGCTTCAAGGAGCATCCACAGAAACCAGACTACAACTCCTGTTGAAAGGGTTAAAACTGCTTCCCTTTTTTCTTTTTAGGAGTTAAATTCTAGAATCAGTGAGTATAATAAGTGCAGAGAAGCTAAATTTTGTTACATGTATCTGTTTGTTTAGTGTTAAGTCGTTTTTATGATCTATGATAACATAAGCAGCCCTATAATTCATCTAACATGTGCTGCAAGGTTTAAAGCAATTAAAGCCTCTATAGTAAACTTTATTGAAAAAAATCCGGATGCTGTAATCATTTGGTTTCCTGTTGGAGCGATTTAATATCTGAATAATATTCTTCTGCAGTACCTTCCTAACAGAGCGCTGATTTATTTTGAAGAGCACCTGGAAGATCATTTTGCTTCAGACTGAAGTTTTCTGTTTGATGGAATCAGTAGATGGGTTTATTCATGTAAAAGCTTAAATAATTACTCATTGTATATATTTTTTTTTCTCAAAGAAGATTTTGAGTTTAATAAATTCTCATGATCTCTTCAGGATGGATTGAAAGGAGAGGCTCTTTCTACAAAAATAAAAATAAAAATTTTCCCCTTCTTAAAAATGAACTAACTGAATCAAATGATTGCTGCTGCCAGTTAAGGTCAGGGACCAGGAGGTCCAGGTGACATGAAAGAAAAAACGGATTCGACTGAGTGGAGAAATGATCCTTCCTTGTTGCAGATTTATTGCTCTTTAAATAGGATGGGTGTGAAAACTCGTTCTTGATCTACTAATTAAGGAAAAATGGGGAATTCATCACCCAGTGAAGCGTTCATCTAGAAAGTGTATGAATCATGCTAATGGCAGCAGCTGCTTGCATCGTTTTTCTTTTTCATTCAAATAACCCAAACATTTTTTCCTTTTAGCAGACGGTAGTTTTTTTTTTTTTGAAAATTTAAAGTGATTTTCTTTTAAAGAAAAGCAGAAAAGCCCTGAAAATACAAACCTGGCTGACAGCTAAACAGATTAAAGTTGCTATAAGTTTCATCTGTCTGTTCTTTGACTCGACTGAACATCAGTTTGTTTTGAACCTCAAATCGTTTATTTTGCATTTGTCCAAGGATTTCGATCTGAAACAATGTAAAAGAGCAGAACAAAAAAGCAAGGTTGGGACTCTGTAATCAAGTCGTCCTCCAAAGCAGCAGCGTGTGTTTATCTGGCCAGGCGTCAGACGGGCGTCACGCTTCAGGACAAAGACGATACGGAGCAGGAACAGACTGAAAGGCTCGACTGAAGACAAATGTTTATAGTGGATGTTTTCATCCCAGTAAAGCTGCATTGATTAGAAACTATCTCTGTGTGAGAGGAATACAAGCGCAGCGGAAATACTGATGCTTCTTCTCACTTTTGTTACAGGGAATTGCTTTTAAACAACAATCTTTTACGGGTTCTGCCTTATGAACTTGGTCGTCTTTTCCAGCTTCAAACTCTGGGACTAAAAGGTGAGGTTTCTTATTTCTCTCATGGCTATTTCAGATTAAACATTTTAACCATTATTATCTATCAATTCATGCCTTGATTTAAGATGATAATTCTTTTAAGCTTCATGTCAGAGGTGGGATTTAGTTTGTATTCATTTCCAAGCTATTTTACGGCAGGAAATCCGTTATCCCAAGACATCCTGAATCTCTACCAGGAGCCGGACGGAACCAGAAAGCTTTTGAACTATATGCTCGACAATCTGGCAGGTAGGCAGCTCAGCAGCACGCACCGTCCACCTGGATCCCTTAATATTTAAACAGCACAAGCACTTTTATCTAGAACCCACCTTATGCAGGTGTTTTATACCCTACAATGTCGTCGTGTCTGCCACAGATAAGCAAGCTAATTTCCCCCCCCCTTCCTGTTTGCAGTTCACCCGGAGCAGCTCCCACAAAGACCGTGGATCACTCTGAAGGAGCGAGACCAAATGGTCCCTGCAGGTCAGTGTAGGAGCCAACAGGGAACCCCTTGAACCTGTTAAACTCTTAAAGTCTTCATTCAAGTCATTAATTACTCTGCTGTCAATTGATCTACTTGGATAGAAATTATAAGACTGAAAACCAGCAACTAACGATTAATAATGCCTGAATTTATAACCAATTATTAAAAATGTAGGTATGATGCTAATTAAAACCAATTGGAACGTCAGATATGAGCATTTTTCATTGGGTAGTTTCAAATACAGGTTAATGCCTAAAAACCCTTACTATACCCTGTTTAATGATTTAAAAATAGTACTGTTATTTTATTATCGTTTATATTGTTAATTATTGTTCATGATTTAAGTATATTTTGCCTCAGTGTTGCATAATAATATATACACAGAATTTAGGTTATCCGTTATACTCTAATTAAACATAATATGAATTAATGGTAGTACTACTCCTACTGCCTTATTCCTTAATTGCCTAAAATCACTAAAAAAGCTTCAAACCCAAAATCTAGAATTTCAGTAATACCTAATTTGTTTTGAAAGAGTCGAAAATCTACTTGTCTATCAAAGGCAACCTTTCATAAAACGACTGTAGTTCACATTATGACCACTAGGTGGCACAAAAGCTCTATTAAGTATATAATAAAAAATATTTCTATTTATCTAATGTGTTTTAAATGGCTTTAAAACTAAATTTGATGCACAAAANTGGCACAAAAGCTCTATTAAGTATATAATAAAAAATATTTCTATTTATCTAATGTGTTTTAAATGGCTTTAAAACTAAATTTGATGCACAAAAACACAACTTTAGAAGTTATGGGTATACAACATGTCGACAAACCAAGAACTTATTTTATTCTAATGATGACATATTTATAATATTTGTACAGCTTTAGCTTACATGCTGCTCTTAATGGGTTATTTCAGAGTGTGTATTGAGATTTTTTCCAGTTGACGAGTAAAAAAAACACAATAAAACAGCATTAATCAGCTGCTAACTTCTGCTTGTTATGTCTTTTGCCTCCCCTGCAGCTGTGTTCACAGTCATGTGCTACAACGTTCTATGCGACAAGTACGCCACGCGGCAGCTGTACGGCTACTGTCCGTCCTGGGCCCTGAACTGGGAGTACCGAAAGAAAGGCATCATGGAGGAAATCACCAGCTGTGACGCAGACATCATCAGCCTGCAGGTGAAGCGAACGTTAATGTGTTTTGTTTGGTCAGTGGTGTTAGATCTGAGATAAGCTGCACATATTAAGACTGGAAGAAGATTTAATTCTATTTTAGCCATTTTAATGGCTTTAAAAGTTTGAAACGGTTTATTTGCTCTATAGCTGTCCGTTGGTCACAGTGTACTCCTTCAGTCTACAGCTTGGCCTTTTAGCTCAGCTCCCCATTAAACCTGTTTGTTAAATCATTGATTGTAATTTTGGAGGCTTCAGGTTGGCAGGGATGTAACTAATGTTCCCTCTCAGGGAGCTGTGGATCAGTGGGCAATAAACCTGGAAAGAAACACCAACACTGTGGTTCCTAAGGCTCAACATGAGTCCAACTGGTTTAGTGAAAACTCTTCCTCTGTGTTTCAGGAGGTGGAGACCGAGCAGTACTACACACTGTTTCTGGAAACACTAAAGGATCGCGGCTACGACGGATACTTCTGCCCGAAATCCCGCGCCAAACTGGTTTCTGAACAGGAGCGAAAACACGTAGACGGCTGCGCTGTCTTCTTCAAGACCGAAAAGTGAGCTCAGGAACTTCAACTGTTTACCGCTTCACAGAAGGCGCCTGAAGGTTAACCAGACGCTACGCCATGTCTGCAGGTTTACTTTGGTCCAGAAACACACCGTGGAGTTCAACCAGGTGGCCATGGCTAACTCTGAGGGGTCAGAGGTCATGCTGAACAGAGTGATGACCAAGGACAATATCGGCGTGGCTGTTCTGCTGGAGGTCAACAAGGAAATGTTCTCCACCGGTAAGGAAGGACAATCTCTCCAAAATGAGTGAAATCTGTCTTTAGTGCGTTTGGGAAATATTAAACAGCTTCCAGGGAAGAATAGACCCCAGTAACGGACCGATACTGGAGTGCAGTGAGCATAAGTGCCTGTTTTAACAGGTGCTTTTGGTGCGTTCTCCTCCTCAGACATCTTTACTTTGTTCAGATCTTTCCAGACATGTTGTGGTAGAAAAAAAGAACAAACTTGACACAGAAATCCATGTGCAGAAGCCTGCAGTCCTCTGTATTTCCACAAGGTGTCACTAGGTAACTTAAATGACTGATGATTAATCGGATGCTACAGGATTAGAGACCATCATCCGTGAGCCCATTAGATGCATTTGACTTGGATTTTATGGTATTAAGGGCTTCAAAGGACAGATTTGCTCCAGATTTTAGGACAAATTTTAATAGTTTCAGTCGTTGCTCGCAACCCCAACTCAAATTTTGCGAATCAATCGCAGAGTTCAAAAGTTTCCAGCTTGCGATGTATGTCTTCACACTGCGACCCGATGCTCTGATGCGATCTGACAGCTCACTCTGTGCATCCTCAAAGAAAGCTCAGGGTCTTGAACAAACCCAACATGCCACGCAATTAACACAGGTAGAAGAAGAAGAATTGTTTTGTGCATGCATAATGTTAAAAATGTCTGAGAAAAGAGCTCAGTCTGGTCGTATCACCGCTTCAAAAGCCATTCACTGACAGGCCAGGACCAAAACGCAACTCATGGGATCGGGAGCTCAACCGTCTCTCGTGACCCTCTTTTATGAAGCACGACACACCATTTGGCCAAGATTCGGCCATATCCCCAAACTTGTTGCATGGCTGGAACATCATCTGAAAAATTATCACGAGTCGGTTATTTTCCCTCTGTCTGTAAAGGCAGAAAGTTTATAATGTGGTTTCACTCCAAAAAAACGGAACGAGAAGCAGTTCTTGATGTCCAATGATCTGATTTATTCCTGTTATTATTTTGTTCTTTCATCCTCTTTCTGTTTTCTCTTCTCTGAGGCATGAAGCCCCCCCAGGAGAGGCAGCTCCTCCTAGTGGCCAACGCCCACATGCACTGGGACCCGGAGTACTCGGACGTCAAGTTGATCCAAACCATGATGTTTCTGTCAGAGCTGAAGAGCATCGCCGAGAGAGCCTCGGGCTCCGTGACGACGGGCTCGCCGACCTCTGACCCATCATCCATCCCCATCGTCCTGTGCGCCGACCTCAACTCGCTGCCCGACTCCGGTAGGACCGCCTCGAGCAGACGGACCACATTTCCACCCAATCGATAAGAGGCTGCGGGTCTCTGAGGTATTTCTGTTACTCGGAGCGTCTCGGTTAACGTTGCGTGGTCGTGCAGGTGTGGTGGAGTACCTGAGCAACGGCGGCGTGGCCGAAAACCACAAGGACTTCAAGGAGCTGCGCTACAGCGAGTGTCTGACCAACTTCAACTGCAACGGCAAGAACGGCAACTCGGATGGGAGCATCACACACAGCTTCCAGCTGAAGAGCGCCTACGACAGCAACCTGATGCCTTACACCAACTACACCTACGACTTCAAGGTAGAGCGCCTCACTCACAGCTGCCGGGCGGTCTGTAGGACTCCGGTATCAATATGTTAAAGAACGCTGGAAACTAAGTTTTCCATCAACACCAATTTTTACAGAGAAAACTCTCAGCTTGTAGAGAAAAGATTGTTGGATCATTGAAAAACACTTAATGATAGAAAATATTCAGAGTTTAAGGAGAAATTAGATCTTTATTCTATCCTGAAATTTGAACTGTCCTAACTTTAAACGATTGAAAAAATAAAAAATAGTCCCCCGCCATTAAGCACCCATTAAATGAGCTTAATAGTCATAAGTGGAAACCCAAGGATCCATATCTGCTGCAGGCCTGCGTCATACGTGTGGAACATTTCTTACAGACTGCTGTGGAAAGCAGCGGTGTGGATGGAAGACCTTTAACAGAGCACTGTTTTTTTTTTTTTTTTTCACTTGCTGTTGGTTTTGTGCCTCTTTTTGAAACGTGTTGGTGGCAAAGCTCTCGAGTCGAGTCTAGCCTCACAGTTTTGAGTGGAGCTGACATTTCGGGGCCCGCTTTGGAATGAGTCACTTTCACATAAATCTGTGGTTTTTTTGCTTCGTATTGTTTTCATGACCACCAGTTCATCAGCTTCCGTCGGGTACTCCTTTTTAGAGCAGTTCTGTTCCTCTTTGCTGAGAAGGAAACAAACTTTTTCCTTCTTTTGTTTTTCTTTTCAACCGAGATGATTTTTCTCTTACTTTTTAGGTTAGTCCATCCTCTTTACAGGTTTTTTTATCAATCGCTCTCATACCAAAGTTCCGTGGAATTCAAAAATTTTGGAATTTGATCTTCACAGTAAAATCCTCGGTATGATTTCCACATCCACTCTTGCGCAGGTCAGACTTAACGAGGACTGGGTCAGAATTCAGCTCAAAGATTTAAACTGAATCCACCAACATTCAAAGAGCAGTGCAGCAATCCCACAGGCTGATACTTCTTCAGTAATGTTTTTAACCAGTTTCTGCTTCAGAGCTTCCCTCTGAACTGTGTTCTTATGGTACGTTCACACTGAACGTGACATGTGTGAAAAAGTTCTCCACCTCCTGCTTTTGCTCACCTTACATTTCACCAGAAAATTGTTCTGTTGCTTCCCGGTTTCACCTCGACTTGATGGACAGGGATTTTATGGAGGAGTTGGGAAGCTGAGCAAAGCCGCCGGCTTCCATGGTCCCAGCAGGTCCTACTGAGATACTTCCGCTTGTGCGAATCCAGACGCAGCTGGATGACTGCTGCTTTCTGCAGTGCTTAAATTAAAGGGAGACGGCATTCTGGAGCTCATAGAAGAGAGTCAGGGAAATGAGAGCAAGAACCTTAGCAGAGAGAGCACCAGAACCGGGATGATGTGGCTGGTCATGCCGACAGCAGGGGGTCAGAGAAGCCCACCGGGCAGACAGAGCGGAGGACAGGCGGCAACTGGCCGGTGTCTGTGCTGGAGGTAAGGGAGGACGATGAAACAGTCCTTCCTTTGTCAACATTCCGATTTAAAAAAGCTTGTCTCCTCTGCCTCCTTCACTTTAGGTCACAGCCACATCTACTCCCTGATTGGTTTTTGTGACACAGATTTAATTCAATTGAATTCCTAGCACTTTAGGAGTCCCAAATGGAAATCAAATTAATATAAATCCTCTAATCATCCACCTTATTTTGGGATATTCTGGTCTATTTTGCATACCCACATGTTAACGCAAATAACTTAGGAAGTATAAGATAACACCTTCTAGTTTCTGAATATAGAAACTAAATTTTTGTGAGGAAAACACAGTCCATGCTGCAGCTGTTCGAACATGACTCAAAGTTGTTTTTTAATCCTAGAAAATAGTTTTTTTTAACAGCAGTAATAAAGACATGCTTGCTTGTCGCAGCTGCTTTGTCATGTTTACATTTTGACATGCTGCTATATCTGTGTTAAATGTGTTTTGGTGTTCGCTATGTCCATAAAATTAACTTGTTGGTTGAATTGTGGTGAATCTAAGCTTTCCAACGATGTCTAACATGTCTATATTGGTAAACATTTTGCCGGTGTAATTTTCATGCATTCTGAGTTACTGGATGTAAATGCTTTAAAACGACCCGGCGAGTTTTGAGAGGATAAACAATAAATAATAATGATAATACCTAATAATGATAATAGATGTAAAGAATATAAAAAACTTTGCGTCACTTTGCGTTCTTCACAGTGCTGTTTATGCTCATGCTCTGCTGATTTCACCAAAAACTCTCCATTTGCCTCACTCCTCCTTGCAGCGCTCCAGAGCCGCCATCTAGACAGGGTTAACGGTGAAATCGTTCACTACAACTGTGAAATTCACCTTCAGTGTGAATGCACCATTAGAGTTTGGACTCTAGGTTGGAATAAGCTCCGGGTTTTTAAAGGCTGGAGCCAATCAGGTTCCAGCCTGGTTGGAGGGGTGGGGACAAAGATGACTCTGTTCAGTAGAAGTGATGATTTAACCAATCAGCAGCCAGCTCCCAATCTAGACACGGTCACCGCTGCCCCACCCATCCTCTGGTTCCAGCCGGGTCAATCACCATGGTAACCATCTCAGACCTGTTGGTTGGAACCTTCAGCTGACAAATCTGCCTCTTCTGTGTCTGCAGGGTGTCATCGACTACATCTTCTTCTCCAAGATACACATGAGCGTCCTGGGTGTCCTTGGACCGCTGGACAGCCAGTGGCTCATCGACAACAACATCACCGGCTGCCCCCACCCCCACATCCCCTCGGACCACTTCTCCCTGCTGGCCCAGCTGGAACTGCACCCTCCCCTATCCCACCCGC